TACCAAAGAATTCCTTCGACGAGACTAAAGACGATACACCAGTCGGGAACTTACAAATCTTCCAAGAACATTCGAACTATTAACTCTTTCACTCGGGAGTTTCTCACTAGAGATATTTAACGTTTTTCGACAAGACGAAGACGATATTCTTTGAGACCAACTCAAAGGGAAATCACGCGTGCATTGAGGACCAAAGCTATTTTGTTCCAATATTTCGTGTATCCGGTCATTGTACAAAGTTAAACATTATATATCAGATTTTATAGTTTTACTGTGTCAAATCGAGGTGACTGAGAGTCAAAGGGTTAACCCCTCACCTACAATATCGTGTCAGACTCGACGAAGATTCCAAACTGAATTCGAAAGATCTAAGTGTTACATCTTTTAAATTAAATATTACTTTTCTGTTATTAATCATTAGCACTAGGTTTACGTTTATTGTACACTTCATTCTATTATTCCTAAAAGAATTGATGCTCGTTTATTTAGATTGTGGAAACTGGAGATTTGATAGTAGGTAATTCGGGTAGTCAGTGTGATCGCATCAATCAAAATCGGCGTAAACATTTACCTTTGAAAACACATACATAGACTAAGCGTGAAAATTGTCTAATAAATTATTCACGATAGAGCATCATCGATCATGGCTAAGAGATCGTAGAACAAGAAGTTAAAAATTGATCTCATCACCAGCAATTACACGCAGTTACAATCACAATGTAACCTCCACGCACGATAGCCCCAAGTTTCTTACCACACCAACAAACCGAACGAAGTTTCTCATAAATATCTGAAATTCCAGCAAAAGTCGAACCCTCGACTAAACACAGACACGTTCATGCGGGGCAACATCCTGTCCGCGGAGCTCAACGGAGGAACGGACGCGTGCGAGAGCCGTTCATAGGTAGAATCACGGTGTAATTTATGAACTCGAAGGAGCTCCCGAGTTTCCCAGCAATTCCAGTGTCAGAGGAGCAGAACGAATTTCACGGGTGTGCGGTCGGCTCGGACGGTTTCCTTTCGACGCTGACACGGCAGACGCGTTGTTGTAAGTATGTAAACCCGTCCGGCCGTCGATTCGTTTCTCCCGCGCTCGCGGATTTGCAATTCCCCCGAGATCGCGCGGCCGTAATAAATAAATAAATAAATAAGCAATGACGGCACGCACCACATACCTCACGCGAACGGCGAATTCGAGCGGGAGAGCAGACCTAGGAGCCGCTTTTGCTCATCAAGCGGCCACGCGCGCGCGCGCGCGGAAGAAGATCAAACAGACCGGGAGTTTTTCATTCTGATTACTCCGCGGCGGGCAATTACCAGATAACATCGGGCCACGGGTACTTTCGTACGTAACGTTCGAACGAGACCGCGGATTCCGAGGGAAAGATGTCGTCTGCGGCGCAATACCTCCGCCATATTTGAATTCCTCTTGCTCGGCCGTCGCTGCGATGAATACTGCCGGTCGGAGCGTGTGCTTTTTATTCGGCAAGAATTCAGCCGTTTCAGGGTAATTGAAATTAAATCGTTTGCGCCGAGCTAACGATGATATTCGACGAACTGTCGTTTCCTGTAATTTCTTTATGCGCTTAGACGCGAGTACAAGATGGCTGTTTTGTGTCGTTTGACCTGTTGCCATAGTTTCGCAACCAGGCTCGGCGAAGTGGGCTATCGCTAATTTGTAAACGCGAAGAAACGCTTCGGTCGTAGTGGACATTAACGGATTGCGTACCGGTGACGAGATTTCTTGTTTTTATGTACAGACACTTAGCTATGCAACTTTGATAATTACCATAGCATTGGAGAAAATAGAAAGTTTAATTCGAATTGATTGTCTATTTAAAATATATTACATAACGATATATCTGAGTTTTTCTGTGTATAGCGATATAAGTTGACCTCAGTGAAAATTGTCGTCACAATTCAGTTTTGTGAAAATTAGCCGGTACGCAATTTGTTAACTTTAGTGAAATATTGAAAATAAGATAGTCTTTTGTTTCGATCCATATGCAATAAGGGTAATTGAAGTTCGTGAAATTAAATCTTGCTAATCTGCAATATTAAAGGCAGCACTCGAAAGGTAATTCACAATCGTTTGATTTGATATAGATTTAGGAAATTTAATATTCAATATTATATTGCATATAGTGCAATTATACGCGAAATATTAAAATAAAATCGTTATATCCATTGATTCGTGTATTATTTTCAGTCAACAGAGTCAACGACTACATCGATACTTCATTAGAAAATGATGAATATACATAGCGAAAAATACTCGAGTGCGAAGGGTGGAACTTGATTATTTTATTATATCAAATCAAGTGGTCACTGAGATACATTCCGAGTGCAAAAGGTTAACCCTTTTCATGTTAGATACATTCGTCATGTTCCAATGAAATTTTAATGGAAAGATCAAAACAAAACAAAGGATTACATGTTTATGTGAAATAAAGAATTCATCGCTGAAAGAATATATCATGTTCAGCTTCACGATGACGTGTATACTCATCAAATACAGCTAACCCTTTGACAAAGATTCTCTGAAATATATAGGACACTCGACATATGAAACTAAATTATACATCGATTGCTTAGATAATTAGAAAAGGAAAACTACGCACTGACCTCCTGTTTTAGTAATTAAATCATTCGTTTGCGACGCGTTGCAAATATGAACACCTGATAAAACATCGACATTCGTCGCAAAGCGTTGACTCGTTAAAGTCAAGCAACAAAGTGCAAAGTCGGCCTTCGGAGAGGCAAGTGTAATCTTGTAGGTAGACGAATTATCGAAGGCCACGCCCACCAGGACGATTCTTTAACAAAGCTGGCATCGAGAAGCAGAAAGAAGTCCGGCCACGGTCCTGGAAGATGACGAAGGGTATCGTCGGCCGCGAGGGGCGGCGCGGGGGCCAGGTTCTTTGTCTCGAGGGTTCGGATTCTGGAGATAGAGGCTAATTCCCAGCTTCCACCCCTCGAGGAATGCCGAGCGTCCCTCTCGTCCACCTTTCCGTGTCCACCCGACCTCTTCCCTTCGCTTTGCTGGCTACTTTGATGTTCCTAATTTGATTGAAGGAATCCGCCGGTACGGATCCTAACTTCGTCTTTATTGATTGCTGTTTTGTTCGCCGCCGACCGGACAGAATCCGATAGATCCGATGTAACTGCGCGGGATCGTTGTCTCTCGGTGGCTTTTGTCGCGGGATCGCGAGTCGGGGAAGACCCGCGCGAAAGTTGAAGGTTCGACCATTTACGAAGATTCTTCGAAACATACAAAACCTAAAGAAGCTAAATTATATATAGATTGATTAATTAATAGAAGGAAAGCAAACTACGTACTAAAATTACTCAACGACTCAGTTCACATTAATTGAAAATACTATCGGTAATACCATCTTCTCAAGAATAACGAATTATCGTTTACCAATAAATTTAACAACACTCCGTGTTCCCTTAGAATCTCCACGTCACCATCCAGGTTAGGATAATCTGAGAGATAGAGATAAGTTTCTTACTTTGAGGGTCACGTCGACGTTGGTTCATTCAATTACAGCTTAATATGGCGCTCTATTTATTTATTCAAGAATATTTAGGAGTCGTTGCGATGTTACCTTTAAATGGTACAATTGCGATTACAAAAACTGCAACTAATTTTTATGGTATTCCTAACGAAAATGAGAGATGCTATAAGATTTCTTCGATCTTTTATTTCCCTTCTTAGTACAAAATTTGGATGTGTGGAAAATTTAATAGTTTTAGGGTAGTTTCTTTGAGATTCATTGAAATATTTAATATTCTAACTGGTGCAATATTGGAGCCTACAGAGTTCAAAGGGTTAAAATTTCTATTCCTAGTTGAAATGGTATTGAATTTATGGTTCTACAGTCTATTCTTTGCAGGTTGATTGGGATAATATCAAGTTAACTTCCAAACTGCAGTATTTGAAATTTGGTTACGATAATGCAAACGTAACGGTTCTGAATATTCATCTTTGCAATTTGAATAGAACAATATTTAGATTCAAGTTCCCAATCTTCAATCTTTACAACTCAATTAGAACAGTATCGAATCTAATATTCACAAATTTTCAACCTTCCAATCTTCCCAGAGAAACATCAAATTTATAGAATAATTTCCCAGTTTCCTCAGTTTCCTCAGTCTCAATCCCCTCTCGAAGGTAGCTCCATATATTCAAATCTACCAGAGTCCTATCCAACGATTAGAACGATCCCCCGCAATTTCGCCCCTGAAGGGGATCAATTTTCTAGAGGATTATCACCGGCGGAATCATCGGGACACTCGAAAGTGCAAGATCCTGGCCGTGAAAGGGATCGAATCCACGGAATTTCCGGCGGTCTAGACCCGCGGAGGGTGAAGGGAACGAGCGGCCAATTAACAAATCGCGTTTCCGATCGAATTTAATTAGCCGGCCCGGCATCGGGAGTCACCGGGACGAAAAGAAAGTATCGGTGGCCCGCAGGATCTCCTAATTTCCTTTCCTTTTTTCGCCG